TAACACTTAGTAGTCTGTCACTGGTCCTTCCTGGGACCCAGTTTCCTCATCTGAAAAACAAATCTTCCCCAGTTGCCCAGAAGTTGAAATTGTCTGCCATTTTTCATGCACTAAATTTGAAAGAAGTTTGAATCAGAAGATTTCTAGGGGAGAAAAATAGGCTACTAGTGTGTCTCACATCTGACACTGAGTTATATTTACATGTAAAATGTAAAGATGGCAAGTGGTTTAAAATAATTTAGCCATAAGTTGTTCTAAAAACATTCTGTGGAGAAAATATATATAAACAATTATGGACCAAATTATAAAGTGCCTGGTGTTTTAAAAGAAAACACAGAGAATACAGCAATCATTGCAGAGTCAGGAAGTCTAGTGGTAAACAACCTATGATTTACAGTATTTGTAAAATTTTTTCAAAAACTGCCTAAAATTGCACCATTTTCCTTTTCTTTCATTTTTTAACTGCTACATAAACAGTATGACAAGACGATTCCACGGTGCTTTGTCATTATACATACTCAGAATGCTTAAGCTGCTGGCTTAATGTAGCCCTTTTGCAGAACACAATTTCCTAGAACAATTTATTTTGGCCTCCCCGTTGGCAATGCCATGTAGCTGAGGATACTGGAATCGATATTGCTACATTTAAATCATGAATATCTTAATTTTAATGTGCTTTATAACCACTTCGATCAAATCTATGGTTTACATCAATTTAAAGAAACTCTGATGGAAACCTTTGTCTTCCATTTTCCAAGTTTCTAAGTGTGACCAGAGTGTCCTAGTGTCTGAAAATTGGATATACATTCAGCAAAAGCTCTTAGCATTTAGTACATTGTACACTTAAAACATATACATATGCATTCCACGGGTTCCCTCCATCTCAGCTCTGCCCGTGTCCCTCTCCTCCCACATTGTGAGCTTCCAATGATGCAAAATTACTAGATTCCTAATTGCTTTTGATTTTTTTTCCTGTCCTCATCGCCCAATCTAGGAGCTGTGGGAACTATGCTGGGACAGGGGCGGCTGCACCGTCTCCTTTACTGTTAGGTTTCCAAGGGCTTGAAGCACTTGCGGCTCTTCTAGCACATTCTAGTGTGTATTCTAGTATATATATATTTGCACATGTATATATGTATGCACACACACACACACACATATACATATACATGTAGGGCTGGGCATGTAGCTCAGTGGTAAAGCACTTGTCTGGCACATATGAGGCTCCAGGTTTGATCCTAGCACTGAAAAATAATAAGTAAGTAAATAAATGAATGCACACTCTTACTTGAATTTTCTTAGATTGCTCCAAATAATTTCTTAGTAAAATCATTGTCACTTCTGTGTATAATCTTATGAATGTAGTCTTTATAGAACTCTTTATCTACTTGTGATCTAGCAGTTTTAATTTTGAAGCTTTTCCAAAAGAGCATTAGGTTCTTGCATTATTTTTAAACCTAACAGAGCCTACAATTTTTAAAATGATTACAGTTTTATAGATTAGGCATTTAACTCACCAGAAAAGTATAAAATATCTTATTCTTTCTTATCAGATCGAACCTCATAACCTAAAGGAATCTTTCAAGCCCTAGTTGTCTGAAGATAACCCATTTGCTTTTCACACTCTCAGTCTATTTATTTATTCACTTGTGGATTATTTGCAGAGCTGGAGACTGGACCCAGAGCCCTGCATGAACTCGACAGGCACCAAGTGTCGTGCCACTGAGCTACAGCCCCGGCCCCAAACCCACATATTTAAATTAAAATAGTACTCTTAAACATGTCTCATTTCTGGTAAGTTCCTAAGCCATAGCAAGCTGTTAAATATACTCTGGGGCAAAAACATACCACTTTTGCTACTCCCAGACATTCTATCCTGACCAGGTTCCGCCTGGCGGACAGCAGCTGCAGCCTGTCACTGACCTTTCCTCTCTGCTGTCCTCCTGGCAGGACTTGGCTCCTTCCACAGGCCAGCCTGTCCTTCCTGTGCCGCGGGTTCCCTCCGTCTCAGCTCTGCCGGTGTCCCTCTCCTCCCGCATTGTGAGCTTCCAATAATGTAAAATTATGTAGATTCTATTCCTAGTTGCTTTTGATATTTTTCCTGTCCTCATCGCCCAATCTAGGAGCTGTGGGAACTATGCTGGGACAGGGGCGGCTGCACCGTCTCCTTTACTGTTAGGTTTCCAGGGGCTTGAAGCACTCGCGGCTCTTCTAGCACATTCTAGTGAGTTTTCACGGGATGCTCCACTCCCTGCGTCATGAGTGAATGACTGCATCAGCATTTAAAGATTCCCGGTGTGTACTCGTATCTTTTATCCAGTCATTTTGAAGAGCAAGGGCTATTTTACTATCTCCTGGCCCCTGTGTCCCTATGGTCATGACCACTGTGGGCTAAAGATGAAACCATACTTAGAAGCATTGAAGATCGAGGTCTCCTGGGTCTCATATCTCACTCTAAAAAATAAAGATTATAACATGGACAGTTGTTGGAGGGATCATTGGGGCCAGTTAATCACATCCAATTTTTTTTATTATTATTAAAAACAAACAAACCAAAAGTATAAAGTCACATTGTTACACCTGTAGTAAGAGTTCTAATGTCAATATACATGATGGAAAATCAGAGTAAAAACTTTCTCTGAAAGTTCTTTCTATGCATCTCCCCTAAAATATAGCATACATGGTCTTGTACACACCTCATCATGATTTAGTAAATATAACAGCATGATTTCCACCAGGGTTTGGCGGAAACAGAGCTGTTTCTTCCCTCAGGCATTTTGTAAAGTAGTTGCACTTTTAGAGATCATGGACCAGGAAAAGCTCCTTTTTGTTTTTGAGTCCGTCCATTTTCCTAGTAAGTGCAAACAGTTCAAAATGAGCTTTTTCTGGAACACCATTGACTAGATTGTGCCAATGAGCTCATTCGACAAAGAAGAACCGCAGGCAAGATGGTGGTGACAAAGGCCTGGCTCACAATCAGCCCTTGAATGTCAAGTCTTGATGAACACTTTGAAAATTGGGCCCCAAATTTCTCCAAGTAATGTATTAATTTTCTAGTATATGTGTTAGCCTTGTTCTCTTATATAGGAATTGTTTTACCGAGAAGTAATTTTTTGCAGAAGTATTTCTATAAAATGAGAATAAAATCTATATTCTGGAAACATAGTTTCCTTATATGTAGCTACAAGTTATTTAAGGTAGTCTGTGTTTTAAAATCATAAAAAATTCACTTGATTTAGTGAATGTGAAAACACTACAAAAATGTAGGTGCCCTTCTTGCCACTTCTGTTCCACAAAATCAATTCTAGTCTTAAAAAGAAATAGTCTATGTAATTAACATGTGACCCACAATTTCACTCCTGGGCATTTGGCCCAGAAAAACGAAAACTTATATTCACACAAAAACTGCTGCATCGATGTTTATAGCAGTTTTATTTGTAACAAATACTGGAAAGTATCCTGAAGTCCCAATACCAGGGGACTGGTTAAAGGAGCTGTTACTCCCGTCCTGCGGAATATTACTCAACAAAAAGGGAACAGACTATGGACACACACAAGTGGAATGTCCAGAGAACAATGCCAACTAAAAAAAGCCAGTCCCAAAGGGTTACCTGCCATCATCCCATTTATACAACATTCTTAAAAGGGCAAAATTATAGAAATGAGGACAGTTAGGCGGTTGATAGGTTTATCAGCTTTTCATCACTGTAACCAAAACACCTGACAAGGAAAGTTTATTTGGGGCTCACAGTTCCAGAGGCTCAGTCCGTGGTCCACCCACTCAGCAGCCCTGGGCCTGAGTGGGGCAGAACATCATGGCGGAAGGGAGCAGCAGAGGAAGCTGCTCAGCTCAGGGGAGTCAGGAGCAGAGAGAGAGGAAGAAGGGGTAGGACACCATCCCCAAGGGTACACTCCCAGGGACCCACTTCCTCCAGCCAAGCCCCACTTGCCTACAGTTACTACCCAGGAGTCCATTCACATTATTAATCCATCAAATGGATTAATCTACCCAAGTGGCTGCAGCTCTCATAATCATTTCCCCACTGGACACTCCTGCACTGTCTAACACAGCTTTGCAGGGGACACCTCACATCCACACCACAACACGAGGGTTAAAGAGCAGGTGGGATGGGAGAGGAGCAGGTGTGGCCGCACACGGGCAATATGAGGGATCCCCGTGGTGGCGAGAGCAGTTCCTGTCTTGCCTGTAAGGACATCAACATCCAGGCTGTGATATTCTACTGTATTTTGCAAGATATGGGGGAACCTGGGTAGGGGTTCAAGCACTTCTCTGCATTATACTGTACAGCTGCCTGTGAATCTAGAATCCTCTCAAAAATATACAAATTCAATAAAAATGAAAAAGGAAACATTCTAGCCTACCAAATGTACGTGGCCTCACTGAGATCAGGGTTAAGAATTCATTATGGCCCCTGGAGTCTGCGAAAACTGTGGAATCAGATGGTTCCAAAATGGGCCACACCCAGCAGTTTCTGCGAGGGTCCTGGGACTCTCCCAGGTCCCTGTAGGGGTACCTCTGGCCACAGGGCAGGAGGCCTCCTTTGGAGAGCTACCCCTCCATTTTTGCCATAGGTGCTACAGAGGTCATGACAAGGAATTCGCCAATAGCAAAGTAACCCCAAATGTGTCCACTCCACGGAGACCCGGATGCCAATCTTTTTTGCGTTTTAAATCAAACGTTCCAACACATAGCCAATGCTCCACCTCTTGTGGCAATTTTTTCTTTTATCTGAATTGCACTAATAGAGCTGTTCAGGAAGGAAATGTTCCATCCCACAGGGGCTAATATAGAGAATTAAAATACACATACGATACCTTTCAAGACTTTTATGTCCAATAACTATAATAGAGTCATATTAGAAAGTGATCTTAAACCACCTCTAATGCTCTCTGACAGAATTACTGAGATAAAGGGATTTTTTTGGACCCTCTTTTTCAGGTCTAAATATTCATTCAATCCAATAAAGACATTTTAGAAAAACAGTCACCATATAAAATTTATTTCATTTTTTTCCTTCACTTTGTTTCAAACAGGAATTATTTCAGCAACATTTTATGTCTTAAGCATTTTCAATAAAATTGATGATGAAGAAGAGTTTACCCTTCCCCTACAGGGACACCAAGGAGCTCAACTGGAAAAATACTGTCGTCTATAAACAGAAACATTCAAAACATATTTAAATCCCCTGAGCGCTTGATTTTTCCAATTCTTTTCCATCTAGACTGAAACGGATGTCAGGAAATTTCAAAGACCGATGGCTGAATCTAAAAGGAAAAAAAAAGTCATTTAGTCGTCATGATCACTGCCAGGGTCAGTCCCCAGTACCTTACACTTTCTGATCACACTGAACGTCACCAGGCTGCTTCTGCCTGGGAGAAGACAAATCACCAATCAATTATGTACACTAATTAAAAATGCTAACTTAGGAGGTATTTTAATAACTTGGTAATGGGGTGAAGTGTTTCTTCTAATTGCTTACTTTAAAACATTTTTGGTAACAAAAACACTAGCCAGGCGGCACCGAACACTTACAAACATTTCGTGCTACAGTCTACATGGACTATCCAGGGGCCCCCGGCAGTGGTGGTACAATTCTGCAACTGGTTGAGGTCACATGGAAAATAGAATTATATGCTAATTTGTCCCTATATTAAGTTATCATAAAGGTTAGACGAAACACAGTAAAGTGAATTCTGGAAAAATAATTAACTAAATAGGTTGGTATGTACCGTATCAAAGTAAACTGTTTATCTTAATAGATACAAATATAAGAAAGATTTTTTAAGGCAGGGGTATTTCGTCATTTTCAAAAACAAGTGTTTTAACTAACCCCAGGCAATGACTTGCAAAATTTAAAAATTTTTATATAAATAGTTGTTCTCTATAGAAGCACAGGGGCAGGGTAATTTTTTTTCAAGGGGAAAAAAAAAAGAAAAAGAGAGAAGGGCATAGTATCCAGAAGAGAATAATTTTCCCAGAAAAAAACTTCACTTTACCTACACATCTCTTAAAGTTAACTCACATAAACAGTTCTCTGTGTGCCGTAAAATGAGCACACACGTTCATACTAAATGGTGGGGTCACAAAGTATTGATTTTAATGCATTTTTAATTTTACTCCAAACTAAACATCAACATAGGTGTTTTTCTTGGCATAGATCTGCCTGAAGAAAATATGCTTTATTCAAAAATCTACTGAGAAAGAAAAATCTAAATTATTTTTTCTGGAAGACATAAGTCATTCTATGGACACTGCGTTGATTTAAAAAAACCATAAGACCAAATCAATCGTTGAAGAATTGGGCCTACTAGTTTCATATACGATGACGGCACTTTCCTCATATTTCTGGATTTTAAAACTACTTTTGTAGAAAAAGAGAAAGAACATGGGAGGCAGGTACCGATGGCCACATGAAATCTTGCAGCATGTGGAATCACAAGTGTAGGATTTCGTGAAGCACCCAGTTCATTTAAGAACACAACAAAGACAGTGGCAGAGATCATCTGTGTCATACCCTTAGGCAAATTCCTGGGGAAAAAACACAATTATTTTATACTCTCAAGTCTATCCTTTCTGCCATCAAAGGATGTATTTATAATTTCCATATAAGAAATATGCCATGCCGTAGGAGAGCTTGCATTCATACAGCCACCTGAAGTTCCTTTAAATCATAACTCCTTTTTAATTTCTGAAGGGATTTTGCCTATTGGTTTTAATGATTTTATGACTACTAGTTACCACAGAATGAGTTAGGTGCTCATGAAATATCAGTTTGACATCTTGTTCAAATGCTTACTTTTCTCCCTGCACTCCCAGCCCTGTCTACCCTATTTTTCCGCCTACCAAGTTAGATATGGAGATATTCAGACATAAAATCTTCAAACACCTGGGCACATAAACATGCAGGTATATACTTCTATTATTTTGTTGGAAGGATTGAGATCTTAATACACTCCTCCCCCTCCCCAAAAAAAGAGCAAAAGTCTAACAAAAATGAAAACCTGCACTGATGCCTAAAAAAATCAGTACTTAAGTAAATTGATCTTCATTCCCAGGGAACGCAATCTGATGTCCAGAGACTGAAAGTCAGTCTACCATAAAATATGGCACATTAAATACTACGATGACCCATTTGAAATGTCTTCATGCAATTATGAGGTCCTCTACAAACAACTGTGGATACAGTTATATTTTAATATTCAGTACCAGAGGTTTCCATGCAAAATATATTGAAATTGTAAAGATACTGAAGTCAGTTTAAGATAGCATCAAACAAATCAGTAGCTATTCCATGGCAAAAATGCTGGCTGAAAATCAGACTTGAAAAGAATTATTAAAATGAGGAAGAAATATTGAGTTATCACAAGCAACACTACCATTCCTGCTTATAAAATTCAGGATTTCAACCAGCTACTGGGAAGAATGAAAAGCTTCTTCTAACCAGCTAAAAAGAAAGTCTTTACCAAGCCCCTTGAAAAAGCTCATTTTCACATTACTCAGGCTTCATTATGCTAAATCAATATTCGTTTAGTCACTGGGGTTATTGACATATTTTAAAATAAAAGTATACCCTTCAGCTACTGCACTCATTACAGGTAATTTGTCTTGTCAGAGAGCAGGGAATATTATCCTAGTCTTTCAGGGGCTGACAGCCCATGGAAATACCTCCCCATGGTTACAACTGTAAATAATTTTAAGGTAAAATATTGAAAAATCAATGACTGTTTCCTGCAATCTGTCACAAACAAATCAATCATAATCTGCACTGCCAGAGAGTATGATTTGAAGGAGATGGGAGCAGATGTAATTCTTGGCTGGAATCTCTCATTTCAAAATCACTTCACATAATGGTGTCATCACTTAAACACTTAACAGTCGGTGCGACTGCCACTGGAACATCCAGTTGGACAAAACCACAAGCAGGAGGAGGAGAAAATGCCATCACTATTATGTTAACAAACATTTAATTTAAAGGGTTGCTGCATTAGTAAATTTCCGCTGAAAACGGTTTTACCTGCCTCTTTTGCAGTTTGAAATTAATCAAGGCTGCTTTTCTGTGTTCTGATGCCTAGAAAATTAGCCCAGGACTCAAAGTATACTCACAGGCCTTTTATTTTAAAAGTCCATTATAGAGAATAAAATTTGGAATGACAAATAAGACATTTCCATTTCAGAATATCCATAATTCTGTGTTCAAAACAATGATTAAAAAACAGTGCCATTGATGTCAAGATGATACTTTGATGACTTAAGAGCAGCTGTAAAGGAATACAGTAAGACCCGTTCAATCTAAACACACCCCTGCGCTCCATATAAAAGCTACACCACAGAGGGATATACAAAACACCAGTGTGATAACCCAGCATCCAAGAGCAAAAGTTGCTCAAGGTCATAATATTGAATAGTTTTACAAATGTAAACTGCTTTTCAAATAATCGCTTTGATATTCCCATTTTTTCTTACACTATATTTTACGGTTTCCTCAGCTGCTTATAACCCTCTGTATAGGCGTGAATAAAAGAATCCGAAAATTGGTATATTTTGCCTTTCTGTTGGGTTAACCCCAAACACTATTTGACATGAAGATTAGTCTCTTTTCTGAAGGTTTGTGTTTTTAAATGTTCACTAGTTCCTTTAGTGGATGAAACCAATTTTAGCTATCACATTTCTTACCAATTGCCTAATTATACAATTAGACACCATGAAGTCCTTTATTGTTTTATTAATATTCCTCCCTAGATAGAGTTCAGGGGGCAGACATCTTTGATGACTAGAAAAGTAGTTTTTCTTAACAAGGAAAACAAATAGATACAAATACCATTCCACAACAGAAGCCTGTAGAAACCTCTGAGACGAAGTAATTGGTCTTTTACAAACACCAATTTCTAATCTAACCTGCATCATCAATGTGGAGATTGGCATCAGGAAGTAGAGTCTTTTCTGATAGATCCAAATCGAACCCAATTTTTGTTCTTCAAGAATCTTAGGTGTATTTCTCCAAGGCCAACTCCAGGTTTTTGAAAACGAAAAAGCACGTGGGTAAAGCACCAAAGGCATCCCCCAGAACCAAGCAAGAGTCCTCCTTCCATGGGAATCCCCACAACAGCTGCAGGCTCAGTAGCCAAGCAATCTCGCCAGTGGAAAAGGAAAGCTTTACCCCGGCCTAGGATTACAGGAAGAGCAGAGAGAGACCCACAGCTCGGAACCAGGACAGGCAGCCATGTGCTGAGCTGCTGGTGCACGCACTGGAACGCCCCAGGCGGGCCCAGCTCACTTCTCGCCAGGGCTCTGGAACCAGCTGCCAACCACCAAGTCCTTCCCTCTGAGCCTGGCTATGGCTGGCAGCAAATCACCCTGCAGAGAACACATCCCCCAGTGAACCAACAAAGGACCGCGAGGTAAACGGGGACAGTGGGACAAGGCTGCAGGCGTGCGTGTCAACCACAAACTGAAATGTTAGTCACCTACTAGCACCGACCAGGACACCATCACAGAGCTCAGTCTCAGAAAGAAGCTATTTTAAGGGTGCTGAGTCTGCCAAAAGGATATTTCTCAGTGTTCCCAACGCAGCCCTTACATACCCTAAGAGAAGCAGGCTCAAAAACTTAGCAGAGGAAAATAAGTCTGCTTGCATATCCCAAATTCAAAGAAAAGGTGTCTAGTGGACAAAATTCTTATATATAATGATGGTTCGGGATTACAAAGAAAAGTCTTCTTTTAAGAGAGAGAATATTACCTTTCTGTCTGCACAATCTCCTCCTTCCAACAGCCAGGACACTAGATCCATCAGGAACTGTGGACTCCTAGAAACAAGAACAGAATGGTCAGCCCCCTCTCTCCTTCCTCTTCCTCCCTTCGTGGGATCACAATTTAATTACCAATACTTCAATTGATTTTATTCCTGAATGATACATTTCTCAAAAAGCATACTCGTTAGCTATTTCCACCAGAGAACATTTAGTATGACCTTATCCATTAATCAACCCTAGCCCAAGACTGGAGGCCGCTTCCTTCTGGTTTCTACAGTGGCAGACCTTGCCCACGTCTATTTTATTATAAAAGGAATAGAGTTTAAATACATTTGAGTTACACCTTCAGTGCATGTGAAATATAAGTTTTCATAATAAATTTGGCAGTTGACAGATGTGAAATTCAACAAATCTGCATATATGTTTAGATTTTTTTTCCCATATTTATCCTTAGAAGGAAAAAGAAACAACCATCTAGATCCTTTCATCTCTTAAATTCAACAACTCTGTACATGGTTTAAAACAAAACAAAAAAGAAAGCTTAAAGGTAAACAAAGAGGAATCAGACTGCCCTCCCCCTCCCCGCTGAGCATTTTCTTGATATTTGTGTCATGTTTTCTCACTTGCTGGAATGCCTCAGCTCTCGGCCATACACGAAACTCCCTTCCATAAGTCCCAATCAGTAACAGGGGAAGTCAAGTGTATTATTTATAATCAATTATTATTTCACATTACAGTAAAAATCACTTTAATGCCTTAGAAAGTATCACAGAGAAGCATTTTTTTTCTATCGAAATATATGCTAACTATACTGCCTTCTGTAGAACTAGATTTTTATTTTTGTCATATACTAATTTTTTTACTCAACAAAATATTCTCATACTAAGTCCTATTCCTTGCTCTGCCCACTAGACAACACAAATATTCTGCAAAATAATTCTTTCTCATGCACCTATATTCAGCCGCCAAATTTTCATGAGAAATGGCAAGTTCTGCCTACACCTGTATACTCTTCACCACTAAGAGTTTGGTACTCATGACTGGATCACAAAATTCACCATTAAAAGAACTAGGTAATTAAAATAATCCCAAAATGTGATTTGGTACAAGTAGAGTCTTTTTAAAAAATAATAATTGTATTTCTATAAAATATCTTAGTCTTCATATTTATGAAAGGTAATGAGTTACTTTATAAATTTTGCTACCCAGTAGTATCATTCAAATGAATTATTCAATGTAATTCCAGGAAACATGACAAATAAAAATAAATAAATTATCCAGTGTCATTCTACGAATCCAAAAATTTTCTATTTACTACACTCTCGGTGAATGCAATAATGGAATTTCAATATTGAAAGGCCTCAAGTGGCATTCTCTACCTTCTGTACTTAGCCTCTGTCACCAGTGTCAATTCTTTGGTAAAGCCAACCCTCATGCTATTTTGAGTCACTCCACACACAAGCATCCCCACGGTGTGTGTGTGCAGACACTCACCTGCAGATGAGCCTTGGGACATGCAAGAATAAATTTCAGCCAACATTTGGAGGAACCCCACAGTTTGAAAGTGAACTTAGCTGAAAACATCCAAACGTATTATGGAAGCATCATACTTATCACCTGTATAGAAAATGGAAATGATTCTGTTTAAGGAAACACAGAAGACTAGCAATACTACTGGGATATTAGATATGAATATCTAATCTAATTTTCTCCAAGGTATCACTCCATATTATGGTGAATAAACAAATAAAAGCTGTATCAAGGTGTGGAATATCATTAGCTTGAGAAAAGGCTAGAAAAATGGATTACATAAATCACAACTGCAGGAGAAAATTATATTCCCTTCTCCTGAACAAATGTCAAGTTCATCCTCACTAATAAAGACTTAAACTCAAACTACATTAGAATATACTGGTTTTCAATTTTGAAGCATTTAAGTTAATTTGCCAAGCTAAATTGGTGCTTAGGAATAATACAGCTATAAAAACATTGCAGATTTATGCAGAAATAAGTTATCAGTATCACACTTCAGAGTAGTGCCGAGAAAGCAATCCAAACTCATTATTGAAAAGGAAAATAGAATTTCTAGATTTTTACACATTCTTAAAGCTGTCCCAGCTGTTATCCTATTTAGAAAAATTATTCTCCACCAAACAGCTACCAAATATGCCAAAAAGATGTTAAAAATACAGACATCAACACATAACCTAGAAAATGAGGAGGAAAAAAAAAAACAAAACAAAGATACTGAGATACTACCACTCAAAAACAGGCTGGGCTAGTTTAGAATAAAAACATGGTTTCAAAGTATAATATTTATAATCTATTTAAAAGAACATATTTAATCCATTCAGGATTATAGGATTTCATTTATTTCTATGTTATCAACTAAAGAACATTTTTAATTTTTCCTAAGATTTCTAGAATATACAAATATATTAATAATTACTTGATGCTATCAATCAAAACTGATGATATGCAATTAGTTCATGTTCCTATTTCATCTCTTCCAACACAATAAATTTTTAAATAACACATGGATAATAGCATGAGGATGGGGATGCAGCTGCCAAAGAAAAAAATTTTGATGGGGGGCTGAGGGATAAATAAAGCAATTATCTCTAAATTAACGCTCTTGTTTTAGTTTGAGCAAACAAATCTAAATAAGTCTCCCTTTGATTTTAGTTTACCATGTAATTCTAACCAGCTAATTATCCTTGGAGTCAAGAATGAGCTGTGACTCTACACCTGGCTTTTCCGATCATGATCATATGCCTGTGGTCTCCTCTACTTTCATTTCCTCTTTCTACAATGAGTTTTAATATTAAAGGGAAAACACACACACCTCTCTCACACACACTGATGGACAGCCAGCTTCCAGGAAAGAGTGAGCTACAAAGAGAGGGGGAAATCTTAATGTAATCCTTATGTTAAGGGGTATTAGGTGCTGGGTAAGCCAAAGGTAATATAATCAGCAGCATCCGCCTTGCCATTGTTTTTGCAGTCAGAGATTTAGAGTGAAGGACAGTAATGTTATTTTAGTGGACACCCAGGTTATGATTCAGATCCTTAAACTAATGCATCGTCTCCACTTGCTCATCAATTCAAATTTACAGAACAATATTTTGGAAAAGATAAGTTCTCCTCTATTTCTAGAACTAAAAACAAGGCATTCCACGAATGTTGTAGCTAGGCACTTGATAATATGGAAAAGAAACTGTTTTCCACCATTGAGACATCATGGGAGACTCTTTCCTCTCCAAAAAAATTCCAGTGGCATACATTTCTCATGCATTCACCTTTTTGTCATATTCCTGTTTCTGAACATTAAGCATGGCTTCCTCAAAAGGTGTTTTCTAAACACCAATGTTTGCTTAATCATATACTGCAGTCTTATGTTTTTAATTTTTTTTTTCAAAATTAGAAACCATTTATTCTACAAAGGTAGAGTACAAAGAAAGCAAGCTGAGAAAATGTATTGCCAAAAAGCCACAAGTAGTATTACTACATGCCAGAACACTTAACATTAAACTACCATTTCTCTCTAAAACTTCTGATGCCAAGCTGCTCACAAAATCTGCAAGCAGAAAGAGAGGTTTCAAGTGCAATTAAATTCTCCAAAAGCAAAACTGTACAAAAAAATATGCTGCCCTTCTTATGTCTCCATTTATAGACAACATTTTCTCAGGATCTTAATTAAGATAACGATGCACACCTGTGTCAACATTCTCTGGCAAGACAGCCTTATCAATCATAATCCTTTAAGTACACTCTAAAACAGCCAAGCGATATGACAGAAGCAATCTGTTGCCTTTCCTGGAGTTGGTGTTGTGTCTCTCCCACAAGAATGATGAGATCTTTAAAATACAGCAGCCTTACTTTTATGAGTCTTTAAAGTTTTAACAGTAAACAGCTATTACACTAAGTAAACAGGAGTAACCTCTTTTGCACTTGATTGAAACAATGACAACTATACAGTCAAAACTCGAAGAGCAAGCTTCATGGCCATGTCCTGACAATACAATTATGGATCATGTTTGAAAGCTTTACCTTTTAAGAGTTATGCATAACTGGATCCAAGCAGACAGGACAAACCAATAAACCCTTAGTAAGTTTAAATATGAAGTTTAAGAGCCCCATGTTAAAAACAATCAGAGCAAACCTATCCCTAGTGTAAGTTAACATATTCAGAAAGATATAAATGCAGTGGTAAGTAAAAAGAAAAGCCAAGAAAAAAAAAAAAATTGTGGGTAATCTGAGATGAGTTGGGTTGGTCTCACCTCTGCTGGTGGAGAAAAGAGATTCAGTGACAAGAGACCTGTGAAACTACGGCTAACAAGTAAACTGATTCTCAAATGGAAAAGCTGATGAACAGAAAGGGAAAGAATGGGGAACAGATCCTCACCACCAAGATACAAAGTTAAAACTCATTGTTTACCAGAGAAAACGTGAAAGCGATCATCTAAAAAAAGGGAGGACATCAGCCTGATGCAATCTGAATTCCGCCTACCTACTAATAATCAGTCCTTCCCTTTCACATATTAGCACAATTCTATCTCAGAAGCCGGGCGGCCGTGGCCAGCCGAGCAGCAGAGCCATCAATGTGCAAATAAAGCAGAAAATAGAGACATCCTTAAGAAATGAGTCTTAAATTTGACGTAGAGCGGAGGTGACAACCACGGCAACAGAACCATAAATTCTAAATGCTTCAATATCTTTCAGGATTCTTTCCAGTCCTCCCTGACACAAAAAAAGAAGAGACCAAAAGCGGGGTGGGGGGATCAGGGTGGTGGTGGGGGCGGGAGAGAAACAGCCGTGGGTCCAGAGTGGTAGGATTATGTAATGAGGATGTCTGCGTGACAGACTCGGATTCTCGGTGGCACAAACCTCCACGGCTCCATTTCAGAAACCCATCGTACTGGACCAGAGCCGAGAGAGTGATGGAGAGGACACGCGTGGACGCAGGGGACACGCTCACGCGCGTCCTCCCGCGAACCGTGACACCGAGAGAGGCGTATCGGAGGTTCTCGCGGCCCACGCGCGGGGCCCCGCCGCGTCCTCCTGGTCCACCAGGGGACGCGGCCGTGGCTCGGAGGCGGAAGCCGGCGGCGCGGCACTGGGACTCGGCTCGGAGGGGGCTCACCTCTGCTCCGCGGAGCGGGCTCGCGGGACGCGGACGCTCCCTCGTGGCAGGCGCGAGTCCCCGGCGGGCGGCGCACGCGGGCTGCCACCGACAGTTAGCGCGAAGGGCTGCAGCGGCGGCGGCGGCGGGCGGAGCCGGGGGCGGGCGCCGAGGAGCCGCGCGGCCGCGGGAGGCGGGAGCCCAGGCAGCGGGGCGGGGACGCTCCGGCTGCTCCCTGCCGCCACCAAGACCGCCCCGAGCCCGCGAGGGTGAGCCGAGAGGCCGCCACTGGCCTGCTCCGCGCTTCCCGAGTTCGGGCTGTGCTGGCCGCTGCGCCTCGCTCCAGTGTCGGCGGGCTCGCCACCCCCTCGGCCCCGAATCCCGTACCGGCAGCACGCTGCCGTCGGCTTCTCGTCTCCATGACAATAGTGCAACCGAAGCCCCGCCCGGCCCCGCCCCTTCGGTGCTGGGACTCGGAGGGAAGCGAGTCTACGTCATTAGGGGGCGGAGACAATGGAAGACGGCGTCCAATCAGAGGTGAAGGCCGTGTAACGGGAAGGGCGGAGCTGACCGAGAGGCTCTCGGATACTGTAGTCCGGAGCGCTCTGTCGGCCTGGGGGGCGGAACCTCGATAGGGAGCAGACGGAGGGGAGGAGTCAGCGCGCGTGCGTGAAGGCGCGCCGCCGGGCGGGTGCCAGTGTGAGGAGTTGGGGTTAGTGTTTGCTCTGGCTGAAGCTCAGGATATAAAGTGTGTCTTGCGCGTCAAAGTCATTGTAAGAAACTTTGTGTATGTTGTGCTTCGGTGGCGTGTGGCTCCATTATAAAAGCTCACGAAGTCTCTGATACACAGAACTCGACCGCAGTGCCCGACACTGGGCAGGCCCCTGTCTGGTTCACCAGCGCCCCTGTCTGTCCCGGAGTTCGAGTGCGTCGGTGACTTGAGGCGGCGGGAGGCGGAGAGATTGGGAGAGGATCTGTTTTGTATTCTAACTGAGTGGCCGTGGTGGGCAAGGGCTCTGCCTGTGACTCAGTTGTGTTTGTCTTGCCAGCGCCTCGCTGAACAAACAGTGGTTGGGTTGGGCACTGCTCTGCCTAGTGTTTGCAGTGGACCTTGGGCGGGTGCGAGAGTGCATGTGAAAGGCAAGGCAACTTAGTTGAACAAAAGGGAAGGGGACCCGCACCCTCCGCCACTACCGACCTAGCAGGGCGAGCTGCCGATGGAAAACCGACAGAAGGACGCTGCGCCACAGGGGGGTGGAAGGGGAGGTGGGGGGGGGGCGAGGAGGTCTGGGGACCTACTCCAGTGTCGCACCTTCTCCGTTTGGTAGTTCTTGCCCACTACCTCTCCTCTAGAAAAAGGCTACCTCGGCAGTCGGACCCCAGTGTCGCCTCCCTCGCTGTCCCGCCGGGCGGTCAGTGGAAAGAAGGCCGAGCCGAGGCCTGGCTTTCGCCCACCTGCTGCTGCCGCCGCCGCTGATGCTTCTGCTGCTGCCAGCGCAGAGGGGCAGTCATCCCGGACTCCCTGTGCCCAGGGCGCCGGCATCCATTGGCTGTCTCGGGGACCTTAATCCCGGATCTCCAACTCGCTCCAGGGACCCCTGGCTTGAGGGAGAAGCCAGTGGGGAGTGGGTGGCGAACCACCTCGTAGCCCAGCCTCCCAGAGAACAAGAAATCCGCTAACAGCGAGGAGAGGAGAGCACCAAGCGTTCGCCCGAGCAGCCTGCGGCTTCGCTCCCTTTGTGCTTTCAAGAGGCCGGACCCGTTACCGGGGCCCGCCGAGCGTCGAGACTGCCGCTCCGCCCCGAGTTAGCCAGGGAGGAAAGTTGGAAGAGATCGGCGCGCTCGGGATGTGACTGTCATCCTGGGGCCGGCGCTCGAGAGTCTGGGAGAAAGAGCGAGAGGGAGAGACCGGGGAGGGGAGAAGGGGGAGGCAAGAGAAAGGGGGGAGAGGGGGTTGGCGGAGGAGAGGCGGGCGCTAGGGAGGGGCGAGGGGAACGCCAGCGAGCGGGAGAGGGAGCCGGGGAGGAAGAGGGAGAGGGCGAGGCGCGCCTGGCGGCCGGGTTGGCTGTGGCCGCCCAGAGGCTCCTGCCAGTCCTCCCACCGACTACACCCCAGGAAGGAGGAGCTTCGGGCGCGCACAAGGCGTCAGAATCCTCAATTTCCAACTTAGCATCTTGGCAGGACCTTTGCGAAGCCAAAAGCAGAGCCCCCCGGTGCAAAGAGCGAGGGGGGAAAAGAGAAAGCAGCAAGGGCGGGGAGGGGGAAAAAAGCCTAGCCTGGGCGAGCGAGGCGCGCAGAGGAGCGGGCGCGGCGGTCGCAGCCGGAGGCGCGCGGGAAGCCAACAAGGAGGCGCCGCGGGCCGGAGCCCCGGAGCCCGGGCTCGAGGAGCAGCGGCCCAGGGCAGCCAGAGGCCAGGTGCCCGCCCGCTCGCCCTCGCAGGGCGCCGCCCGACTCGTTGGCGGCCGCGGCGCGGCGCGCCCCATGCCCCTGTGTGGCCATGTCCTACCCGCAGGGCTACTTGTACCAGCCGTCCGCCTCGCTGGCGCTCTACTCGTGCCCCGCATACAGCACCAGCGTCATTTCGGGGCCCCGTACGGATGAGCTCGGCCGCTCGTCTTCGGGTTCTGCGTTCTCTCCCTACGCTGGCTCCACTGCCTTCACGGCGCCCTCGCCGGGCTACAACTCGCACCTCCAATACGGCGCCGACCCCGCGGCTGCCGCCGCCGCCGCCTTCTCCTCGTACGTGGTGAGTGAGCGGGATCCGCCGAGGGCGAGGGCAGCCGGGCCCGGCTAACGGGCGAGGGCTGCTGGGGACACGGGCCTAGGCACCACTGCCGACCTCCCCCGCCAGGCTTCGCGGTCCCTACAAACTTGGGCGATTGTCTCGCTGGGCTTCGCCCGGGCCTTGGGCTCAGGAGTTGTTGGGAGAAAAGCCGCGTCTAGCTCGGATCCTTGAGGTGGAGGGAAGGGTTTTGAGGGGAAAGGTCGTTGTAATTAAAGCCGGATTTGGTTCAAACGGAAACTCCGGGCCGCCCTGCAAATTTTATTTTATTTTTTGGTTTTTGGAAAAGTTCAAAAGAAATAGATCCGAAATCAGAACAGAAGCGTGCTAAATCTATGCAAATGTGTTTGGCCTCGCCTTTAATTAATCCTCCAAAATGTTGCAAATCCGTAATCCTATCTTCACAATCCGATTTGGAGGTATTAAATTTCTGAAAAGTCGACCGAGCTGCGGTGCATCCGGGATTTTTCGGCCGGGTGCACTTTCTGGAAAAGCGCAGTGGCTTCGATTCGGGTTAGCATTTCTGGAGGGTGGGAGTGCTAGGCAAGGCTCAGCCTTTCCTTTGCGTTTCTTTGTGGATTAAAAGAGAAAGAAAGCAAGCCTTGGCTTCTCTTGTTCTACCCCCGTGCGCCCAACGTGAGGTCGCCCCAGAGCGGAGCATGGAGTCCCTGCTCCTGCCCAGGCCTCTATCTGGATGGTGGGCCGGGCGCGGAGGCCAGATTTGCGCACAGGGCACGGTCGTTCCCCGGCAGACCGGGTGGCACCGAGGTCGGGACAGCTTCAGGGGTCCCCGAAGGACCAGATTCAGGAATTGGGGCCTCTGCTGTCTTCTGAGGAGGGGGGCGGTGTGCTTCTGGGTCTGAGTCAACCAGCCCTCCCCCAGGGGAAGCTGGTTTGAGGGCCTGGCTCCCCCGCAAACCCCGGGGCGTAGGCAAAGAGTGCTATGGTCCTTCAACTGGCAGTGGAGACCCAGGCCCACACTTACCTCCTCTCTGCCTGTCCCCCGCAGGGCTCTCCCTACGACCACACACCCGGCATGGCGGGCTCCTTGGGGTACCACCCATACGCTGCGCCCCTGGGCTCCTACCCGTACGGGGACCCTGCATACCGGAAGAACGCCACCAGGGACGCCACGGCCACTCTCAAGGCCTGGCTCAACGAGCACCGCAAGAACCCCTACCCCACCAAGGGCGAGAAGATCATGCTGGCCATCATCACCAAGATGACCCTCACCCAGGTATCCACCTGGTTCGCCAACGCGCGCCGTCGCCTAAAGAAGGAGAACAAGATGACGTGGACTCCGCGAAACCGCAGCGAGGACGAAGAGGAGGAGGAGAACATTGATCTGGAGAAGAATGACGAGGACGAGCCCCAGAAGCCCGAGGACAAGGGCGACCCCGAAGGCCCTGAAGCAGGTTGGTGGATGAGGGAAAGGATTTGTGGAGCTGGAGTTAAGTGAATAGGGGGCCTGGAGGGGGCGCGCACGGGGCCTGGAGGTTTGGGGCCAGGGTCTCTGCCTTTGCAGGCGGGAACCGGGGCCCCGCCGCGTGGCCTCTGCGTTTCTGACAGCCTGGGTTTCGCCCACAGGAGCCGAGCCGAAGGCTACTTCGGGCTGCGAACGGCTTCAGGGGCCGCCCACCCCCGCCGGCAAGGAGACCGAAGGCAGTCTCAGCGACTCGGATTTTAAGGAGCCGCCCTCCGAGGGCCGCCACGACACGCTGCCCCGGCCCCCCCGCGCCGGCGGGCCCTCCCCAGCGGGGCCAGCGACGGCGCGGCTAGCGGAGGACCCGGCCCCTCACTACCCCGCGGGTGCGCCGCCGCCCGGATCGCACCCGTCCGCGGGAGAGCTGCCCCCCGGTCCCGGCGGGCCCTCGGTGATCCACTCGCCACCACCGCCGCCGCCGCCAGCGGTGCTCGCCAAGCCCAAATTGTGGTCTTTGGCAGAGATCGCCACATCCTCGGACAAGGTCAAGGACGGGGGCAGCGGGAGCGACGGCTCTCCGTGCCCACCGTGCCCCGGGCCTGTAGCCGGGCAAACCCTGGGAGGCAGCCGCGCGTCGCCGGCCCCGGCGCCGTCGCGCTCGCCCTCCGCGCAGTGTCCTTTTCCGGGCGGGACGGTGCTGTCCCGGCCTCTCTACTACACCGCGCCCTTCTATCCCGGCTACACGAACTATGGCTCCTTCGGACACCTTCACGGCCACCCGGGGCCCGGGCCAGGTCCCACCACCGGTCCGGGCTCTCATTTCAATGGATTAAACCAGACGGTGTTGAACCGTGCGGACGCTTTGGCTAAAGACCCGAAAATGTTGCGGAGCCAGTCTCAGCTAGACCTGTGCAAAGACTCTCCCTATGAACTGAAGAAAGGTATGTCCGACATTTAACGCGGGCTGCGTGGGTCCCGGACTTGCATAATTTATTAAAACCATGGCCTTGGCAGTTATTTTTCCATCACCAAGAGAAAGAGAGAGAGAGACAGAGAAATAAACTACCCTTCTATTCAAAAGTTTATAGTTTATGGAGATGGATGACATAAAGATGTAAACATCTCCAAATACAAAAAAAAAAAAAAATGTCTTAACCAACCGAAAAGAAAGAATTAAAAAAGGATTTGTATTAAATCTTATTCTGTATATTTAATGTAGCATTTTTGTATTTAAATTGATAATTCAATATCTTTGAAGTAAATTATGAAATCGAGACACCTGTACAGGCATTTAATGTTTTTTGTAATATAAATATATACATTTGTGTTTTCCCCAAAACTGTTTCATAGTTTAAAAATACCAAGTTTAATTTAATTTTTTACACCTATTGATTTTTCTGGGTATGAGCTAAAGTATTATTACGGAAAGGAAACAGGTTATACTCTTAGATTTAAAAAGTAAAAGAAACTGCAGCCGCCTTTGTAAAATGCAAAATATTTAATTAAAAGAGATTTTAACAGAATCAGAGCCACTCATTACTCTTTAGAAGCCTCAATAAACTGTCCATTGCCTTGGTCCAAAAGGTGCAAATGCAACTTTTTTTTCCAAGTGGGAAATGAAAGGTTCCACAGCCCCTCAGAGCCCCATGGGGAAAGCCATAATTAGGCTCCAAGCCTGGGGGAACCCGGCCCTGCCCGGGCAATGCGGATTTGGATCACTGATGCGGGCTGCTCCGGGAAGATTGGACCCTGGAGGAAGGAGAAGAGACCCAAGTGTATGCCCAGAAGGGAGAAAAGATGGCAAATCGAGCTAGAGACTCGCAGCACCCGAGCGCCAGCGCTTAACCTAATTACTTCCAATCAGTGTCGTGTTTTATGCAAAGCAATCAGCTGGTGAACTTTGCTAATGAGTTCGATTTTATGCCGGATTTAGCCCTTATTACTATTTCAAAGGTGCTGCTGGCTAATGCGGGAGGGGAGCGTTAGGGGATACCAAGGGAAGGCTTTCCCAAGTCACTGTCTCCTCTACTCCTTCAATATGGGGCATTGATCTCTTCTTTGGATTTGATTAAATTAGTGAACGTTCCATCCGCGACCACTCGGAGGGCGGGGGGCCCTGTGGATGCCCAAGCAGCCTTGGGGCTGGGGTCTTGGGACCGGCGAGGGGACTGTTCCCCCCTTTCACAGGTAGGTGTCACACTTGTCCTGAATTTCAAGCCTGCACTTTGCAGAGTTGGAGATCCGGTAGTGGGAGGAAGGGGGTGGGGTGGTAGGGAAGGCCACAGTCATTTGGGGGGAAGCTAGGGGAGCCCCCGAAGGAATCCAGAGACCCTCCCCCAAGGGCCTCTTTTTGGACAAGTGGCTTTTAGAAGCTGGAGGTCATATGCCTAGATAAGGAGGCCTTTGTGGACTCGATGAGGCTTGTCGTCGCTTTAGCACTTTTCCCCAGTTCAGATTCAAGAGTTTTGGCCCAGTAGCTACAGAAGTATTTTTGAGGCTTTTTTTTTTTTTTCATCTTAGTATCGCATATTTCATCTCAAAATGTGAACTCAGGATGCATCTCAAATCTAAATGAGGAAGAGACACCACCCAGCGTCGGAGGCCAGCCAACCCTCACTGTTCCGGCTTGGCTGGGGTGCCAGAGTCTCCATTTTGCGCCTGACATGGAGCCGCCAACGTGTTTCACTTCGTGGGAAATTTTTGGTGGTGGGGGGAGACGGGGTGTGTTACAGCAAAAACATACTCAGGCGAGGGGAATTAATTTGCTCTATTAAACCCAAGTCTCAGTGTAGAGAGAGCATGTGTTTGCACATAACACCGGTTTAATTAGGCTAAATCAAAATGCACATATTTGCATTTCTACTCAGGATTGCTTTAACCCTACTCGGCTTTTTAAACACATGCCAAAGTTGCACCGAAGTTGTTGCTCTTTTTTCCCCCCCTGATTTTCACCTGCAACGGGGCTTCTTTAGTCTATTCGAATTTAAACAAGTTTTGAAAGTAGCGTTTGTACAGATATTTTAGCGAAGAGTGGTCGAACTTGAAGGCTTAAATTAGTGAGAAAATTCACGCCGGGAAAATAATTTTAAAGTTGGAAGTGTGAATGATCAAATATGCATGAGACGATCGTATTTTATTTTGTCCCTTTAATTATAAATGATTTTTTAAACAATTGAATTCCAGAGATGACTATCTCCTTCCCGACCACCGCCTCCAGCTCCTCATCCCTCCCTCCATGCCTCCCCCCTCCTCCAGCCTGGCTCACAATCAGTTTTTCACCCCCTGTTGAATATGCAGCCCCAGGAGTCACCTTGTCTACTAAAAAGTGGGAAGAATAGGCCAGTCTCCTTCTCTTAAGGGGGGAGTTTAAGGACGACTTCAACTCGGCGGGGTTTTGGAAGCAACGGCCCTAAACCCTGACCAACGATTTTAAAAAGAAAATTACAGGCCTCCTTGTGCTCCTGGGTGTATGCAAATGATGCGGCCTCCAAAGTCAGACTGCGAGGGCTCAGGGCTGCAAGCCGAACGCCCGCCGCCGGGCAGCCTGGGAACCCGCACCGCGCCCCCGGGAGCGCGCGGCCTTTCTCCCCACCGAGGGGCTGCACTTGGAGCCTGCCGGCCGGGCAGCAAAACCACCCAGGGCTCGGCTGTTGGTGCCCAAGTCGCTGTCCTCTGCCCACATCCCTACCTCCCTTGACCTCTGCAGGGTCTATAGTTTTTCTTCGCCTGGTGGTCTGGAGTAAAAGCCCTCACTTAAGTCCGGGGTTTTCTTTTCAGGGCAGGGTTTCGATGGCCAGAGGCCTTTCTGATGTCTGTCTAGTGACTTTCCAGTTCGGAGATGGCCTGCCAGGTAGATGTAGGTTGCGGACGTTTAGGAAATCCTGGCTACGTTTGATCCCAGAAGTAGTTGTCTGTCTGTAGGGTCCCAAGTCCTTCCCAGAATCTCTGTTTTGTCACCTCTCCGGTCGTCTAGGGAGGCACGGGCTGGGGATTGGGGACCTTCTTGCATGTGCGGGGATTAGTGTTTGTTCGCAGGTTTGGATTGGGATGCTCAAGCTGCGACAAGCAGTGCCCAAGACACTTCGGTGCTGGGTTGCAGGGGCTGTAGCCACCTGCGCCTGGCTGGGCCGATTCCTGGTCCCAAGGAGAGCTTCATTCGGTATTTAGGGACTAGAAGGCACTGAATCAATCCCAAGCCACAAGGGTCATGGGATCACTGAGTGGGGTCTGTGCAGACAGTCCCCTGAGGCAGCGCCAAACCAGGAACGGGCTGGGTCCCTTTCCCTACCCCTTTGCACGGGGCCGATTTTCAGATCATGGGATTTGGGAGTGAGGGGACAGTAACTACAACTAATTTCCCGAGGGGGCATACGCGGACCTTGGGAGGTTGCGAGATGGGACCTTTCTCCTTCCTGCTCCCGAGTTTGGGGTACCTGGCCCCTAAATGTCTTTCCACCAGCTCGGGTGCGGGGCCTGCTGCGAGGCCTCCTAGTTTGTAAAGCTGTCGGGGCCAGTCATTCCCGAGACGTGCACAGCTCTTGGGATCTGGAAGGTTGAGGCGAGAGAGGGTCGTGAATGCGATTCCCGCGCAAGCCTTGTCTTTCAGCCCACCTGTCCCGGGCAAGTGGCTGCCAGATCCGGTGGAGGCACGCAACAGCGCATTGCAAAATGCCCAAAGTGAAAGGAATGTGATTGCACTCCTAAGGAGCCCGAAGCGGATGCAGTTTAGGAAGGGCGCCGCCTACTGGTCCCCCAGAGCCACCGGGCTCTCCGAGAGGGGGAGTTAAGAGAAACCCTGCTAAGCCCCCACCCACAGCAGGGCTTAAGTTCTGAACTCTGAGCTGGTCAAACTTAAGCTGTTCACCACCCCAGGTTGCCTCGGCCCTGGACCCCAGGACCCAGTTAGCATTGGGGATTTGTGGAACAGGGCCCATGACTAAAACAGCTTTAACCCTATGGATTCCCGCCATGGCTTCGCACTGTTTCAAAAACCTGGCATCAGACAACTGAGAAATATGTGAGCTACCAGATAGCCCGCGGGTGGGGCCGCAGCTGCGCCGCCCAGGCCGTGCGCTACGTTCCCGCTCTGCGCCAGGTGCGCACACGGGCACCTGGGTAGGCCGGTCCACGCTGGCACTCAGGACGCAGCGCAGTCGGGTTCCAGCTGCAGTTTGGAAAGCTCGGGTGCGGGTACCACGCAACCGTTTTGGTCTTAAGAGCTTTCCCCCCCCTTGGGGTGATCGTTATAGAAAAAGGGAAAGCAAAGAAAACAAAAGCTACCCCGCCATCGCTTAGAACCCTATTTCGAAAGCACCTTCAATGGCAAAGGTGCGACGCTTACCCCTGCGTCCGCCCACCCGGCCGGAAGTGCTAACGGGTGGTGTTGACTGGTCTCCCTCTGCTTCGGGGACGTGTGGGTGAGCAGAGCGCACCGTCGGGCTGTCGCTTCCCATCCCTTGGGGCTGCACCATCTGACAGAGAAATCGGGCCCAACTGAGACCTGGCCGTCTGTCTTTCCCTCAAACTAACCAAAGCTTTGGTGGGACTATCCCTGGACTCACCCTGCAGGTCTCCCTTTGTGACAGGGCCAGACCCGGTCTCCTTTTCGTTTGGGGCGATAAATGTGACTTGGGTCCCCGGTACTAGGCGGGACCAGATGGCCTAACAGGAGAAGGCCTCGGGGAGAGGGCAGCCGCTCTTGGCTGGACCCCCTAAGCTGGCCTGCCCCCTCGGGGCCCCTGGGGGTCTCCCGCCTCCTGTCGACTGAAGCTCCCAGCCCTTCGTCCCCCAAGGCCGCCCGCAGGGCAGCGCTCGTTTCCGGCGCCCGAACGAGCCCCGCGCGCCCGGACGCCACTTCCCAGTGAGATCTGCTTTTATTTGCTCCGAGCGAACCCCAGGCTCTCAGCGCTCCCGCCTGATGGATGCAAATGTAAATGTGCACTTATTTAATTGGATCAGGCCCCAAGATAAAAGAGATAAACGGCTCCCCGTTTGCTAACTTATTTTCCGAGGCATGCAGCGCCGCGTGGAGGGGAAGCTAATGAAGGAGCCGCGCGTCGCTCAGCGCTCCAGCTCTCCGCGGCGGTGGCGGGTTGGCCGGAGGACTCCGCGTGGGCTGCGACTCCTCCTGGACATCCTTGGCTCTGGCCCTCCACGCCCGGTGGGCTTCCCGCGGGACCTTTGCGAGGCCAGGCTGGGAAAATGAGAAGGCACATACCCGCCCTCGCCACAGACGTCTCCACTGAGGCTTGGACCTCTCTCCTTCGTACCCAGCTCTCCAGGCTTGGGTCACGCCGGGAAAGCCCACCTCCCCTCCCCGCAGGCGTCGTCCTTACACCCCAGGAAGCGTTTTCAGTAAGAAAGACAAGAGGGCAAGGAGGGAAAACCTTGCGCACCTCTCTGGCCACCATGGTCAGGTGGACCTGCCCTCCACACGGGCAGACCCCCTTCTCTATGACCGGGTGGCCTTCTCTGGGGAGTCTGGGGTGTGTTTCCGAATTGGCTGAACTCCATGGATTAACCCCTCCTCCCCCCAATAATGTACGTACTTAATACACACGACAATTTAATAATCGCCAGGGGTCTCAGAACCCGGACAGCTAGATGCTAGGAGGAGAAAGGGCTGTCCGACTTTTTTTCCCCCTCGGGGACAGAGTTCAGAGCCAGCGCGTCCTCCTGCCCCTCCAGTTCATTCCCCAATTTGGGGTTTCGATTTTTCCGGGAAAAGTTAATCTGTCTTGATGGGCTGGAGAGGGGGTCTGGGCGCGCCAGGCGGAGACCTGAGAAGACGCTGGCGGAGGAGGTGTGCGAAAGAGGAAAGAGGCGCGCTCTGGACGGAGACCCTCCCCGACTTGCCTCTGGAGGCTGTGCTAGGAGAGCGTCGAAACCTGACGAGGCTGGAGAGATCCGAGTCGGGAGAGGCCGGGCTGGGCAGGACGTCCCGGCCGCGCCCCGTCCGACGCGCTGATGGATTGGCTTGTCAGGAGAGCTCCGTGCGCGGAGCCCATCAGAAAGCACTTACCTCGCTAAACTGAAATTACTGTCTTTTCAAGGGCTAATTTGTGTAACTCCCATGGAGGGGCATGCAGGGGGTTTGATGAGGCATAAAATGATGATTAATGAATTTATTGGCCGATGCTCATCAAACAGCGGCTCAGAGCTCGCGTCCGCCCTGGCGGCCTGGCGGCGGCGCTCAACACAGCTGGGGTTCAACCTTCGGGCCCCAGAGTCTGCAAGGGTTTCCGCAAGTGGCTGGCTCTGGGCTCTTTCCCTGGCTCGGACCCTGTGACTGCTTGCTGCTGGCGGGCCCAGTCCCCAGATTAAGGAGTGCGAACCGAGTCAGGAAGGGATGGGGGCGCAGGTTCTAGCGCCGCGCCATCGCCCCCTGCGGGCAGGTTGACGGAGCCTGGAGGCAGCCTGGGGTTGCTGCAGGCCCACAGGTAAGCCAAGGCCTCTCGGATGGCAGTGAGACCTTAACGTGGAGCCTCGGGGAGCATAAAGCCATGAGCGGGGGCTGTCCTGTAGAGCCCATATGGCTTCCTGGGTGGGTGCTTGGGCCTTGGTGGCTCAGCCCAGACCTTGCAACTTACTTTGCTCTGTGTCCTTGGACAGGTCCAATAACCCATCTGAGCCTCCTGTCTTCACCTGGGGCTGGACCCCCTGGCCTTAACGTGGATTGTAGTGCACGGCTGGTGGACATTCTTCAACGCAGTTATTAAAGCCACACTATCTTAAAGACAGAAGCTCACTGGTGTCACCAATCCAGACTTGGGGAAGAGGAGGAGGTGGGAGACAGAGCCTTTGGGTTCTGATTTGAAGGGGAGAATCCTGCTACAATAGCCTGTCCCTTAGCACTCCCACTTCCTAGCTAGCACTGCTCCCAGGGACTTAAAGGAGGGCCGTGGGGGAGGCAGAGAAGGCAGAACCTGCTCAAGGCTGAACTTCCGGGGTGCTGACTGGAGTTCCCCTGGAGTCCCCTTAGGTAGCAGAACCCAGTTTCAGGTGAGTTGCAGGACAGGTCAGGGCTCCTCCCACCAGCCCCTTGTCTGCAGGCTCACATTATTTAGAATATATACACAGGGACCTTTGGACTGGTCTCTAGGGATTTTAAAGGTGAGCTTGGGTTCTTTTCTCTGTATTCAACACCTTCCCTTCTGACCTTACACCCCCTCAAACTGTCCCTAGATTTCTCAACAACCAACTGTACTTTTGCCTCCAGGAGGCATCCTGACTTCCTGCAACAGAAGGCCAGAGAGACCTTGGCATTGGCCTCTCCAGGGGAATGCTTTCCACTGGTCTCCTTGTGAGTGCAGCTTCAGTTAAATGGTTTCCTTCTTTTCCTCCAAC